GAGAAGGTGCTATTTAAGAGACTGAGCTGAAAACAGCACCTCAGACTGAAGAAGTCTCTCGGACGAGAGACGAAACGTTTCTACATTTTTTGTTGTTTTGCTTTGTTTTGGTTTTTTTTTTGAATGTCCAGAGGACCAGATTTAACTTTTTTAGATGTGTGAATTAGATTATTTTTAATTGCCCCAGTGTGTGTGTGTGTGTGTGTGTGTGTGTGTGTGTGTGTGTGTGTAGGGTAGTTTGACTTGTGTGGTTTTGCTTTGGTCTCCTGGTACTCTCATCAGAATTGAAAGAGGACCCAAGGATCCAGATTTTCCCCGCGGAGCTCAAAATAAGAAAACTTAACTTTCAACAAAAATAAATAAAAGGCTGACGTGGCAGGAAAAAATTCCAGGAGCTAAAGGCACGAGGAGACACAAGGAGAACTGGAACGCTTGAATGATGAGTGAGGAAGAACTGACATACTGGGGCTGATGAGAAGAGTGGCTGCAGCTGGGACACATGGGGCAGGTGTAGATGAGCTGGCTTGAAAAACACTGAGTGAGAAATCGACTCAGTATAATTTATCTTCAAATGATAAAGGACAAACACTCCAAACTCCAAGCGACGGAGTGCTACTGTTACATTTATATAGTATTTATTTGGAAGTATCTAATCAGCATCCGGTAGCAACCAGGACTTGTGTTTTATTCACAAAGGTCTTTCTGAATTATGGTTTTCTTCATTTGTATAAATTAAAAGTAAAAAAGGAGATAAAATACATTCTCAGTGTTCGACAACATGTTCTTCTGGTGAACTGAGTAAAAGTGGTCAGGTTACATTTTACAGTGTATTAATATTATTCTTATTTTAGAGCCTGCAGCCATAGAAGCACCCAGAGCACCTAGATCCACTGAACACTTTGAAAAGTACTTCATTCACAAGCTTCGACTATTAACATCCTTTAAAATTACCATATTTGAAGTGTCTTTTTGTTGCAAACATTTGAGTGAAATTTACATTTTAAATTTGATGCGGAGAAAAAAAAAATCCTCCATTATTTTATTTTTACAAACCTGGAAATAAAACTACATTAACCTCCTTGTAGGAAAGATTCTAAACAATGCTGTATTCAAGGATACAGATTAAAATGTTTTATATTCTGCTTCTGAAGTTCAAGACTGCAATTTATAATTTGTCCATAAATAAATCATCTGTTCGTTAAGGAAAACAGTGAAGCTCGTTTAAACAAAGCCTTTAAAAATGTAAAGAAAACTTTGAAATGAACGAACAATGAAACTCTGATCGTTTTTTTTAATCAGGTTTTAAATTTGATGACTCAGTTTGACTTTGCTGATCTATTGAGGTTTACACACACAACCATATATAAGGTTTACACAAAGGACTCTAACATGAGACAATCTCTCTGCAGCTGCAGAGGTGTGGACAAATGTCACTCCATCGCACAAGATGCATTCTTCTTATATGCAAAAAAAGATTTACTTCATTTCAAAACTACACGTTGTTTTTCTTTTCAGGCGACATAAATCCAAACAACACAATTCAGTCTAAACTCACTAGACATTTCCTCCAAACCGTGAGCTCCTCAGTGTGGAGTACACCTGTTCAGGTGAGACAACAGAGTGAAAATCTATTCGCCTGTCAATCAGGAATAATATGACATTTGAATAAAAACAGTGCTAAGTTGTTAAATTGTGATAACTAAATTGTGTTTTAGTTTTTAATGCGTTTCTTTGTGTTCCTATTGTTTCGTCACTGTGTCTCTTCAGCAACAGGAAGTGTCTCTGTCCCCGTGAACCTGTCTGACGTGGAGCCCTTCACAGACTACAGCTGTTCTGAACAAGGACAACAGTGTCTCCGTAACTAAAACTCTTCCACCGGTTCAGATTAGGATTGACTGTGGTATGTGGATTATTTTAGTTTCTCACTGGAAAGAAAAAGCTTTTGTTTCCTAAAACTAACACCAAAAGAAAAGCATCAATCTACAACCAGATGAAGGACGGTGTACATTTGATGAACTTGAAGCGTTCACTGACTACACCTGTGCAGTCCAACCCACCTACAGGAACACACTGGTTCAAACGTCGTCGGATTGTCACACAAGTCCAAAAAGTAGATAAAGAACCCAATTAAACAAATGAGACAAAAAAATTATACTTGTTCTTTTATTTATTGAGGAAAATGATCCAGTATTACATATCTGTGAAAGGCAAAAGTATGTGAACCTCTAGGATTAGTAGTTAATTTGAAGATGAAATTAGAGTCAGATGTTTTCAATTAATGTGATGTTGATCAGGTGTGAGTGGGCAACCTGTTCGATTTAAAGAACAGGGATCTATCAAAGTCTGCTCTTCACAACATGTTTGTGGAAGTGGATCATGACATGAACAAAGGAGATTTCTGAGCTGCTCAGATAATGAGTTGTTGATGCTCATCAGGCTGGAAAATGTTACAAAACCATCTGTAAAGAGTTTGGACTCCATCAATCCACAGTCAGACAGATGGTGAACAAATGAAGGAAATTCAAGACCAGTGTTCTCCTCCCCAGGAGCGGTCGACCAACAAAGATCACTCCAAGAGCAAGGTGTGGAAGAGTCAGTGAGGTCACAAAGGACCTCGAGGTAACTTGTAAGCAGCTGAAGGTCTCGCTCACATTAACTAATGTTGATGTTCATGAGTCCACCATCAGGAGAACACTGAACAACGATGTGCACGGCAGGGTTGAAGGAGAAAGATGCTGCTCTCCATAAAGAACATGGCTGCTCGTCTTCAGTTTGCTCAAGATCATGTGGACAAGCCAGAAGACTGTTGGAAGAATGTTCTGTGGACAGATGAGACCAAAACAGAACTTTTTGTTTTAAATGAAAAGTTTAATGTTTGGAGAAAAGAGAATTCTGCATTCCTGCATAACAACCTTATCCCATCTGTGAAACATGGTAGTATCATGGTTTGGGCCTGTTTTGCTGCATCTGGGCAGGAGGGCTTGCAATCATTGATGGAACAATGAATTCTGAATTACATCAGAGAAATCTAAAGGAAAATGTCAGAACATCTGTCCATGAACTGAATCAAGAGGTGGTGGGTCATGCAGCAATGATCCTAAACACACACGTGGTTCTACCAAAGAATGGTTCAAGAAGAACAAAGTTCATGTTTTGGAATGGCCAAGTCAAAGTCCTGACCTTAATCCAATCCAGATGTTGTGGAAGGACCTGAAGCAGCAGTTGATGTGAGGAAACCACCAACATCCAGAGTTGAAGCTGTTCTGTACGGAGGAATGGGCTAAAATTCCTCCAAGCTGCAGGACGGACAAAAGTCAGAAACGTTTAGTTGCAGTTGCTGCACAAGTGTGTGTGTGTGTGTGTGTGGGGTGGTGGGGGGGGGGGGGGGGGTGTCACACCAGATACTGAAAGCAAAGGTTTTCATACATTTGCCACTCACAAACATGTAATATTGGATCATTTCCCTCAAATAAATGACCAAGTACAATATTTTTGTCTTGTTTCTTCAACTGGGTTTTTAGGACTTAAGTGAACATCTGATGATTTTAGGTCATCAAATATAATTCTCTTGCACTCGTGGAGCTCAATAAACAAACATTAATCTCAAATGTTACACTCAACCCCACCCCCAATTAATTTATTTGAATATACCTTAAGGATTGGAGGAAAACAAAATGCCATAGTTTAACCAAATAAAACCTGTGACGACTCAATCTCAGTCAAAGCAGTAAACAGTGGGCAAAATAAAAAATCACATCAGAAATCTTTAAACACTTTATTAAATTCAGTTTGCATACATGACTTTTGTAATATGGACTTTTCATTTGACACGAAAGGTTCAAAAAGTAACTAAAACTACCAAGACAATAAATATTGCCAATATTGTTTTACTTTCTGGACCCTTCAATACCAACTTCAGTGGGCATGCAGAAGTAAACGGACTCAAAGAAATAACGCCACGCACCACATGCAGACAAAAAACATCAAGTCAAAGCCAAAATCCTTAAAGTGACTTTGCAGTGTGTGTGTGAACATCCCATTCAGGTCCAAATATGAAGACATTTTTCAACGGTTTTTGTTTGTAAACAAAAGAAAATACAGCACAGACGGTTCTCTGAATATTTTGCTTTGGTTTCATTAAAAAAAAAGCATTTCTCTGTAAATATAAATGCTACTCTAGACTGCTGAACTCATTTAGGGACATCGAAACACCAAAACTAAAATCTCTTAAAAAAAAAAAAAAAAGAAGTGCTTTAAAAGCTACAGTTCTTGGAGAAATATGACAAAATACTGAAATGTTCTGGTGCAATCCAGATGCCTTTTTGTTTAAAGTTTCAATCACTTTAACAGAACATGATCAGGACTAGCAGAAGACAGAAAATGAAAGGATGAATTACTTCAGGATGTTTTAGCTAAGTGAGAAAAAACAACATAAAAAGGGGCAAAATCATGGGAACTGTATTGCAAACAAAAAAAGCAAACATGTTCTGTAAACTCATTTATATCCGCAACACATTCAGTTTTATTCTCTTTACAAGTTTAAAATATTAGATGCAAAAAAAGAAAAGAAGAATAAAACTGCAACTGTAGAGTTTAATGACGGGATAAGAAGAACACTGTATTTTTCGGACTATAAGTTGCACTTAAAATCCTTTCATTTTCTCAAAAATCGAGTGAGCCTCATGTATTAATCTGGTTGTGCTTACTGTCCTCGCACAGATTTTATGTGGTACAACTGGACAATATTGAGTTATTGTGAATGAGTTCAATAAAGTTTGACTTATCTGTTTTGTTTTGCTTAACGCACCTTATAGTCCGAAAAATACGGTATATGATGTTTAAAACGATAAAAGGACACTACAATAGTGTTGTCGCCTTCAATAAAATGTCTTTATTTTAATATAAACTGGTGAGTCGGTGCTGCTCATTCATAAACCAGATCATCCCAACGAGTCATCACTGGTTTTCTTTATTTACAGTAAAAAAAAAAATTATTTCCTTTTCACAACACATCGTAAAACATAATTTTACTTACAGTATATATACTGTACTGCTGAATGTGACTTTCCTCTCATTTCTCTTGACCTCAGGTAGACATTGCGGTGAACTCCGAACACAGACAGCAAAGATTTATCCTCTTATTTGTCACAGAGAAGAAACAAACTGCAGCACCAGCCACAGTTACGGCGGCTCTGATGCGTCACTGGTCACAGATGGAAGTCCGTCTCCATTTATTTCATATAGCTTTGTTTTCCCCCCCATGTCTTTCTTGTGACTTTACAGACCTTATAAACCTTACACTTAGCTCAAACCACTTTAACAGAGCGAGGAAGGAAATATGGAGTCATAAGTCGGGTAAACAGAAGACGTAGAACTGCTTTTGTTACAGCATCAGCAACTACGAGGCTGTCAAAGCAGACATTGTGAAGTTTTCAGACAACACAAAGGTGTCAAGTTGACTAACATTCAAAGAGTTGTGGAGACATTTGCCCATGTTCCCCTTGAGCATGTCTCCAGTCTCTCTCTTAAATGATCTTTCCTGTTCTAAAACATTCATTTGACATAACCCTGCCAGGCTTCTAGTACCAGGGAAAAAAAAAACGTGCAACATGACAACATTTCAACCATCAATTACTCTGTTTTGTCTCAGATTTGTTGTTGACAATGAATAAAATTTCCATTTAATTTTTAGCTAAAAGTTCTCTTTCTTTTTGTTGCTAACTTTTGATGCAGTAAAAGCCATGAGGGCAAAAATTCACCAACATTTCTGTTTATTGATTTCTGAATTGATAGGCTCCCTGTAAAGCAGTGTATGTGCTCTAAATAGCTTCTAGGAGTGTCAGCTGGTGAGGAGAACACATTTGTCTTAAAGCCGCAGTGAGCTCCAATACTTTGGTTTTCAGTGAAATATTGTTAAAGTAAAAGGTTTGGGATACAGTCAGGTATTTTTCTGAGATACAAAAATGTAGTCAGGCAGCGCAGAGACGTATCACCCATGTAGAAGATTACTTTGATTTATTGGTACAATACTGCTGACAGTACAAGATACTAGCTATTTAAATATATCAACTGTTAAAGTGTGATGTTCACAGCTGTGAGCAGGATGGACGAGCTGAGACACTCAACGTTTGCTAATTTCCACTAAAGCTAATATCCAAATGCTAAAACTGAAAATCTGCCCAAATAAAAGAAATATAGCTGAACTCGGTTCAACTCGAGTGTTATTTTATCGACTGTACCCCGACAGTAAACATTTTGTGTACAAGGTGAAAACTGTATCATGAGTCCAGCAAGAGAAGCAGGCGTGAAGAGGAGTTCTGCAGAGCGTAGTGTGCGGAACTCTGGGTTTAGCAGCCCTGTGTCACGTGTTGCATGTGCTTGGCCATGCCGTACACGTAGGCGATGTCCGGCCTCTTCTCCGGGTCGGGGTTGATGCACATATCTACCAGGTTCCTCAGCTGATCAAAGAGATGGTTGAGATGTGAACAGAGAGAAGACACAGTTAACGACTCCAGACTTACAACCAACTGTGGGATTTCAAAGAGCCGCTTCCCAGAAATGAGCGCACACTCGGTAAGTGACCTCATTCGAACCCAACAATAACAAACCAACAGGTAATCAGGATGGATTAGTTATTTCTAGGTGCGTCGAGCCCACACATGTGGACCCTCCCTCAGAAACGCACACCCTGCCACCCAGAGACGGCGCTTAAACCTGAAGTCGAGCGGAGCGGCTGATTGGAGCGGATAGATCAGCATGCAAGCGAGCAGTCACTGTCTTCATTAAAAAAAAGAAGGATTATAAAAGATGGAAAGGAAAGGAAAAAAAAACATCTATACAAGGTTGCCATGGTAACCGCCTGCTGACTTCCTGGCTGCCGTTGCGTGTAGATGTGCATATGTGCGTGCGCGGGTGAGAAAGAAAGTGAGAGAAAGATGCAAATTCAGACGGTCTGAGAATTAGTCGCACAGAATGGAGACGGAGGGCGTGCAGAGATGCAGATATGTAAAATATTCATGCGCTTCTTTGCATGGCGAGTGGGGTGGGGTGGCGGGGGGAGTGTCAGGTGGAGGAGGGTGGGAGCTAGTGAAGGAAAGGGGGGGGTGCATAGACGGAGATGGTTAAGTGACACAACAAAGATGAGCAGCTGACAGTTTGCTGCCGATCCTTCAGGAGCATTGTTTACATCCAGACAGGCGCTGCAGGCACCCCCCTCATCTCCATCTCTCCATCGCCCTGTCTCTCGCTCTATCATTCCTGCTCTCTTCGCTTTGTCTTCCTTTCTCCAGGATGGGGGTGACATGTGGGGTAACGCTGAAGCTCAGCGTGGTGTGTGTGTGTGTATGGAAATAAAGCTCATGTTACAAATATACACAATTTCTCTTGCAAGCTCAAACACACTCATTGACGCCACCGTCTTAAAGGGCCTCAGAATTAGCCTCTATCAGCCTAATAAAGTATAAACTGTTGTATAATGAAATCCTTTCTCTGCAGGATTTACTTGACAACACCAGGAACATGAAGAAGCACAGCAAGTGCCACAGTGAACTTGAGTTAGTATGATGAAACTGATTGTAGAGTGGAAGCAATGAAAATACAGACAAAAACTGTTTTATATACATGCACTGCAGCGAGAAGAAGTTTTATACACTTATTTGTTATATTGCTAACAGCCAATAAATATCCATCCATATTCTTTACCCCATTTTAATTTCTGGGCCGCAGAGAGGCTGGTGCCCTCCAGAGTCATTGTGCGAGAGGTGGGGTACACCCTGTACAAGTCGACTGATACTGGGACTATTCAATTAGCTTAATGCTAACAACAACAACAAAAAGACAAACTTTTCCCAGAGGAAGTTAAGCTTAACAGAGGTTGTGCCATGTTGGGTTTGTTCTCCTTCTTTGGACATAAACTATGAAATAAATACTTGATTAAGGCCTTCGAGATAAAAAAAAAAAAAAAAAAGCCTGCTGCCACTGGGTTGACATAAAGCAGAATCATAAATTTTGCAGGTTTAAATAAACTACTATTAGACCCTCGTACAGGATTTTTTTAAAAAGGGTAAAAATACACAAAAATCCATCGAGTTTTTAATTGAATGATTTGCAAAAAAACCCAGGTAATTTTATGTTTATTCAATGAAAGTTAGTTGCGACCTGTTTGATATCAAACACAGAAATATTAGCCATTGAGGATGCCAGGGTTGTAAAATAGATTTTTTTTAAATATTATTTGTTTGTTTTAAAAAGACTCTTCCTGGACAAACAACTCACCACTTAGTTAAAGAAGTATTGCACGTTTCAATTGAGAATGAAACATGAATGTTTGCAGAAGAAAAACACAAACAAACAAATCCAATGACTCAAAAACGGCTCCAACGTGCCTATAATAAGAGACAGAGTTCATGCAAAGACCTCTGCAATGCATCTGTGTGAATGTCTAATCAGTGTCAGGGGCTTTTAGTGCTCGGGCACTTTTCTAAAAACATTTAGAAGAAAAAGACAGAAAAAAGCCACCCACACAAAGGCCGCATGCAAACACAAAGACACGCAGATTCATACGCATGTCACCGGTAATCAGCAATAAGAATAAATTTAACCAAAGCCCGACTAAATTACAGTTTTGTGTAAGGATAAGTCTTCACAGAATTGCAGGAGATGATTAATTGAGGGAAACAAGACACTCTAGCCCACTTGACAAGCATGACCACATGCTTTTGATGTGCTTTTAATTTTAAATGTTAAAATCATAGCCAGTCTTTTAATCAGGGTAACATCATACTGTACTGTAGGACAGACAGATAGGTGGATCTTACCAACTTTAAAAAAAAGCAACATTTTTATGAGAGGGGGGAAAAAAATCAGGCAAGTGGAATAAACAAAGAGAGGCCGAGTCTCTGCTTTAAACAAGCGGTAGTTTCTGCTTCAGTGTTCAGAAATCGATACGAGTGGCTTCTGTTCCAAACAAAAAATCAAGTCCACTGTTTTGTCCAACAGCTGTAAAAGGCAGCTGCTAACACTACTAGTACTTACCTCTTCTGAGTAGTGATCTGATGGAAGAGGGGGGTAGTCACACTGTTCTATCTTCTTGCAAAGGGAGTAGAGGTTCATCTTATCCCCATAGAAGGGACTCTGTAAGGCTGCCATCTGAAGTGCAGAGATGTAAAGAAACAAGCCAGAGACATATAGAGAGAGAGGGGATAAAGACAAGGAGATGGTGAGAGACTACAAAGACAACAAGGAAGTAAAACACTCAAACTCTCAACAGGTGGTTGCACAGAAGAAGCTGCACTGTGTTAAAATCAGAGTCTGCTCAGCTAACTGCTCCTGAGGAGGAAGACTAAAAGCAGGACGTGTGAAAGACAATCAATCAACCTTTATTTATACAGGTAAATCCCATTGAGCCTCGAGGACTCATTTACAAGAGAGACCTGACAACAAGTCAGTTGGTATGTTTACATGGACATAAGTAACCGGATCAAATGGCCGGTCGGAATAAAAGTGTGTCATGTAAACGCTCCGTTCGGGTTATTTTTTGTGTATTCGGCGTGATCCGTTATAATTTCTGATCAGAACGAAACGGGTGGTTTACGCCGATCCGAAACCCGATCGGTGCGCATGTAAACGCTTGATCTGTTCATTTTTATCTGATGGTGAAAAACTGACCTGACTGCGCATGTGCGACTTTGCCATTTCCGCCTGGCTAACGCTAATAATATTAGCATGTCAGGGAAGTAAAACTGGTCGGTGAGCGACACAACATTTCTACTAGAAACTTTTAAAGAGCTCAAAATGATTTCTATTACCTGTAGCTCAGTCAGGGAGTGCAATAACGTCTCCAACATCATTAAAACCTGTCGCGGGTCCATTTTGGGTGCTCAGGTTTGTTTACGTTCACCCGGAAGTAGAACTTCTTCTTCGGTGGTTTTTTAAGGAGAGTTTACCACACTGCGCATGTCAGTACTGCTGTTCAGAACAAAGCCCGCTGCATGTAAACGCTCATCATGAACTGATTGTGCCCATGTAAACAACACATTTGAATTATTCAAACAGAACACATTTCAATCCGGTCAGAGAATTCTGCGCATGTAAACATAGCTAATGTGTCTAAGGTTTTTGGTGCATGTCATATCCATTCCCTCAGACGAAATGTTTCAACAAGAAGAATCCGTCCAGAGGACCTGATTTTATTTTGTTGGATTTGTCTACCTGGATTACTGAGCATCCATCAGGATGTATCCATTGTTACTTTTCTTTAACAATCCAATAATGGTCAGTCAGGTCATCTGGACAGTTTCGTTTTTGTGGAAAGACGTTTCGCCCTCTATCCGGAGGGCTTCATCAGTCTGAGGAGTCCCAAGCAAACTGTTTTTCCCCACGAAGCAGTACACTCCTTTAGTGGACCAATCAGTCCACAAAAAAATTTGTCTCATCACAAAAAGTCTTTCCACAAAAAAGAAACTGTCCAGATGACCTGACTGACCATTATTGGATTTTGTACCTGGATGATTGAGCATAAACTTTGATTTTCTTTGACAACATTTGTTTCTCTTCTAGTTTGCCGGCCATTTCTTAAAACTGTAAAACTATAAATTCAAATAAGAAGCATGATAACAGCTGAAAACAAAGCGTGAGACAAGAGGGTTAAAGGACAGAAGAGTCATTTGGCTTGCTGGGGCAACACGGTAACTATTTTTCAAACGGAAGAGGGGATAAAAGGAGGGATAAAACATGGAAAATTTGATCGAGTGAAAACAGGTCAAGCTGCTACTGTAAAAATTAAAAATTTGAACTTTTTTAAGACTCTTGACTGATTAAATTAGTTATGATAAAGGAAACATGCAAACAATAAACCTGCAGTAGTTCTGCACAACAGACTGAGTTTTGTTTTAAGGCATTATTAACGTTCTCAAACACAACAAAAGATGATAATTCATTTTTTTAAAGGAGGTAGTCTCAATCATCATTAAGGATAAAGAAGGATTTAGGTCCTCCATAGGTTCTATGTCCTTGCAAGACATCCTTTATGCTTTTATTCAATTTCAGTTTATTTCATTAAGTATGTTAAGGTGTTTCATACTTTCAAATGTCTATAAACAAATACACATGCTGCTGTTTACGACACAGAACCGAAAGTTTCTTCTCTATGGGAAAACAAACTTTATACTAATTTGTAATCAATTATAACTTTTGGCTTGTTTCCTTCACTACTTTTATCTGCAGGGTTCCCTGTCTTAGGATATAAACTTGAAAAGTTTCAATTTGATCTTGATGAGTGCTTCTGAACCAAGGATGTGTTGATAATTGAGGGGGCGATAAACTGGAAAGAGAAGCTATACCAAGGAAAAAATAATCACAGGTTTATCGGTGGGCAGATGAGATTTAACACATTATTTCCTCAACTATTTTTCAGCTGTCCCAGTATTGTTTTGGAGGGACTACACTGTGTTTGACAACCTGTTAATTGGTGGTGTGAAACCAGGCAAAATAAAAGTCTCCACAGAGGAATCCAAATGGATTTTTAAATACATCAGCTTACAGAAAAAAGTGCCATATTTTATACTTTGAGGAAATATTTATGTAATTGCAGGACACATAAGAAAATATGGCTGTAAATCAGAGAAATGAAGCATCTGGAGCAGATACCTGGACTTGGGGTTTAAATTCTTTCAAAATAGTTGTCTCTTCAGCAGAAATCCCCACCAAAAAAACTTTCATCAAAGACTTAGCAACTATCTTACGCCAGAATACTTATATTTTATGCAGAATACTTAAAAAAAACAAAAAAAAAAACAGTGCCTACCATATCACTCACCATCTCGCCTAAAAATCAAGACCCAGTTCAAGCTAAAACAAATACCGTCCAGACTGTGAACTACTTCACTTTGCTGTGAGTAGCCACAAGACTAACCTTCCACGTCCCAAAAAGTCATCACCAATTTGAATGCAGCTTCATTACTTCAGCATTCATTGACAGATGTGTCAAACAATGATGGAGCAAAGACTGAAAAACATTTTTCTATGGAGCAGACTGTGACAGGGTCTCTGTCAGAACTTCCAGCGGGAGGTCAAGATGACAACAGCAGAATCTCAGTGAGCCATCTCTCGCCTGGACACAATTAACCATCATGTATCCATCAATACTCAGAAGCAAACAGACACATTAACGCACGACAACCTGACAATTACACAACAAGATTAGGAAAATGAATTGGCTCGACTAAGGGTGGAACAGCGGGCGGTTTGACAGTGATGAGAAGTGTTTGGAAATGTGAATTGCCCGTAATTGTATTTTTGTTGACACATACATTAGTCAAGGAGCATCATATCTGTGGCCTCAGATACCAAACCTGACTCCACCATGTTTGAGACGATTTATGGCCATTTTCACTAGAGTGACAATTTAAAACAGGAGCACTGTGTGTTCATCAAAATTCACACGGACTGCAGTCGTTTTCAGAAATGTGCAGTTTTATACTCAGGCCAAATACATCTAACCATGGCTCTTAATTCAGAATCACAAAGGGTAGTGGTTAAAGCAACCCACTTCAACAATAAAAACTTCAACAAGTCAACACTCCATTAGTGTGACCATTTTTTTTGTGCCATACATCATGTGAAAGCAGTTATTAAACCTGCAACAGGCTTTGACCTACTGCGTTTTTAGGCATATATAGGAAGATGGCTGATCCGCTGCAGCCATATGTCCCACACTCTGAGGTCAGCAGACCAGATGCTTTTATTGGTTCCAGGAAATCATTTTAAGCTCAGAGGTGACAGGATTTTCTCTGCTGCAGGTCCAAAACTGTGGAATGAGTTACCACCACATGTCAGACAGGCTCACGCTCTCACTGTTCTTAAGTCTCGTTTAAAAACTCAATTTGTTTCCCTGGATTTTGACACTGTGTGAGTTGATTTTAACTTGTCTGTATTCTATAATGTTAGCCATTTAGTTCTTATCTTTACCTATTTGGATCTATGTTTTTTAATCCTGTGTCCTTTGCTTGTTATACGTTTTTGCTGTACAGCACTTTGGCTGGACTTGTTGCTGCTTTTAAGTGCTTTATAAATAAAGTGGTATGGAAGAAGTGGGTAAAAAACAAAAGGATGAATGGATGTTATGGTATGGTAAGAATAGTAATACCAAACCAAAAATACAGGTATATTATCAAATTTAACATTAGTGGAAAACATTCAACTGGACATTAAAATTTACTAAAGTTAAGCTTTTTTTTTTTTGCTTCTTAAGAACCACTGACAATGACACCAAACATAGTGCAGAGTGCAACAAACCAAACATTGCAATGGTTTGTGGTGAAGACATTTTTACCAGAGGAATACATTTTACATGTGTGAGGTCTTTTGCAAGTGTAGCTTGTACCCAGATTCATATATTTTAAAGGCTAGAAAGTCCTTCCTTTCACCTTTAATCACCAAAAAAAAAAAAAAAAAAAAAAATCAAGACATCTGTATCCCCCAGTGTGAATGTTCACAAGGTAGGGGTAGGTCTAAGATGTAGGGGGGAGAGAGTGAAATGACATTCAACTCTCATTTCAGTATGACTTCTGAAATGTTTAAAATGTTCTAAAAACACATTTGTTTCAGAAAATAAAAAGCCGTTTCATATATTACACAAGATTTTTAATTGGCAGTGATTCAATGCATGCTTTTATATCAAAAACAAAAGTGCATTTTTCTAAACAAATGGGCTTTGATAAATTACTAGACTCACTTTCTATCAAACACAAGACACACGCACGCAGTGCACATTACTCAATTTTCAAAGCCATCAATACCTCATGGAGATAGAAGAAGGCTGTTCACGTTAACAACCTGACACATCACAAATAATGACTGACCTTCATTAACAAAATCCATTTACAACCTTTTCATTGGCATATTTGGATTAATCCTTTTCTTATGAGATGCAGTACCATAAATAATACTGCATCTCTTGCAATGAACTAGTCCAGTAATGGAGCCATTCACTGCAGCCTGTAAACCAGAACAGAAAAACAGAAAGCTCAAGTGTTTCTCATCAGTAATTAGACAAAGACGTCTTGCGCTTTTACTTTGGAAGAAAATCACAACAACCATGACGACAGCTCTAACATGTAGAAAAAAGCGGAGAATCATTTGGACTCTTC